GGCTTTATCAGTCTGACTGGGATGTTGTCGGGACCGTAATCATTGGTATGGGACTTCTGAATGGATTTAAGGAGATCATCTGGTGTAATATAGGAAAGAAAGAAGTGATCAGGATTAAAGGAAGAGAACATGGGAGCCGGACTGGACGTGGGAGATGTGGTTGCCAGAGGACAGGAGACAAAGTGAGCGTTGAGGTTATCAACAGAAACGGAATTGGACTGAGATTGGGGTGCATTACCAATGGTCAGTTTTCTAAGAATAGTCCACGTGGCCTTGGTGTTGGGAGAGTTAGATAGGGAATGATGGTAGTAACGGGATTTACCACGGCGTACTGCTGATTGAGTGCTATTTCGAAGCTGTTTGTAGGAGAGAAAATCATCAGGAAGTGGAGTTCGTTTAAAACCGTCGCCTTGCAGCATCTCTTTCTCTCATACACTGCCTCAAAGCAGGAGTAAGCCAAGGAGCTGGAGGATATCGGATGGTTTTTGTGATAAGAGGAGCATGTCGGTCGAGGATAGAGTGAAGTTGAGTGGTAAGGGTTTCTACCATGGTGTCTATGGATTTTGAGGAGTAGATGGGATCCCACTGGATATCGCCAAGATCTTCGGGCAATGTTTCGTGAGTGAGATAATATAGGTTTCGGAAGGATATTGTTCGGGGAGAAAAGGATGGGACAGGGACATTGTAAGAGATCTGGACAAGATCGTGGGAAGATAGAAACGGGACCGGGTGCTGAGATGCGGCAAGGAGTTTGTCTGAGGAATCCAGGATAATTAGATCGAGCCAGGACTCTGAATACTGAGTATGATGGGTCGGATTGTAGGGTACTATGCAAAGGCTGAGACAATGAAAGAGGTTTGTTAGGTAAGAATAATCAGAGGATGGTGCCAGTAAATTGGTGTTAAAGTCACCGGAGAGGATGATGTTTGAGTAGGAAGGGATTAAGTTGTACAATGAAGTCTCAAGTGGTTCATCGAAAGGAATTCTAGGAGGGCGATATATGACAGCAAACAGAATGGCAGATGAGGTTGTGAGGATTTCGGCGAAAAGGTATTCAACGTGCGGAGAATCGGTTATGGAAAAGCAGTGAAGGATTTTGGATTTGAGACTGTCATCTGAGGAAATTCATCAAAATGGGCTAGGAGTGACTGAGCGTTGACGTGGCAGGTTAGAAGGATATTAGTCATGGAAGAAGGAGGGGTGGCTTGGTAAACGGACAGAAGGAGTTAAGGATAGGAATATTTCTACAGCAGCCAGAGCCAATATGAGCCCAGAGACCATAACTATAGATATTATCTCTATTGAGAGGAACAATAAGTGTGTAAGATTTCCTAGATATTAATAAGGATGGTAAACAATAAATATAAACATTTTTTACATATTTTTTATATAATATCCGTCTAGGTTTTTTGTAAATTTATCAACAAGTTTGGTATTGTCAATTACAGTGGAAAGGAAGTGTCCTTTTCGCTAACATTGAACATATACTGAGCTTTCTTAGTTTTAATTCTAAAGGTGCAGGTTCAGCTCAAAAAGCTTAAAGATGGCATTGATAATGGACATAAAGAGCAGTTTAATACCTTAAATTATTAAACCAATTTTCTTTAAAATTATTATAAGTATTTTTACAAAATAATTAATGGTTGCTATAAAACATTTACTGAATTAACCAATTAAAGAGTTCAGCATTTATGGCCTTCACATAAATTTAATATTTTATATGAAATTTATTGGATTATTTATGGAGAACTTATCGAAACATTACGGCCTCTTCACGCTCTACGTGATAACACACCGCTAGATACGCCACTGTTTGTAAATTAGATAAATGGTAAGGATTAATTAAAACAACTCAAAAAGTGGTCCCTAATCGGTGTCTGTAATGGTTTCTGTGACCTATTTAGTCCAGTAAATTAATGACAAAAAGGAACATGTAGAGCCCAAGGTGTAGAAGGCAGTAGTTGACTTTGGGAATTGGTTGGGAGTGCTTTGGAGGTAAACATACTACAAGTTCCCATCTCTACATATATACCCTACTAAATTTCCCATTAGTCCAGTCAATGAATGATTATGGAAGGAAATGGCGGCGACACAATTTTTGACTTTCGGGAATTGGTTGCAGAGGTGCCCATCCCCCCCCCAAGGTCGATGCGCATGATCTTCCCTCCACTCCTCTCAAAATATTTTATTGTTCTCTTCTTCTTGAAAACAGAGCAGGCGAATGTATAATTTACAAACTCGTAGATTATACATAATTACACATCCTGCAGACTGTTCCATGCTTCCACTCGTCTTTTGGTTGTAGTTTTAATTTCTAAGATTCATAATCCCGTCCAAATGTGCCCCTCAAAAATTCAAAACCCCGTCAAAATGTGCCTCCCTCAAAAATGTTGAAGGCGCAACTTGCACCATGAAACCCCCTTCTTGGCACCCCTGATTGTTTGGACTAGTAAATAGATAAACATAGTAAAAGTCTCTACTCCTAGGTGGTGAGCCAAATGTTGTGAGCCAAATGTTGCCAAGAAATTTGAATTCAATAAAGCTATGCAATTCTCTTGTAAGACTTCAATAGATTTCAGTAAGCCAGTGGCATAGAAAAAGTATTTTTCATTAGCTTACTTAAATCACAAAAACAGTGCATCATAAGCAAAAAAAAAAATTGTATCCATAATTTCCTTTGAAAATATCCTGATTCATGTTTTCGTATTTCTTATAGTTCTCCAGAAATGTAGTATCTTAAACAGAAAATTAATTTTAGTCACTTTTTTTTTTTTTTGGTTTTGTAAAACTCATCTATTTAACTACTAAGCCTTTCGCTCTACAGGAAAATTGATTAGAAGAAAGTTGCAGAAAATCTATTTTCTTCAAAATTATATACATATTTGCTAATTTATCGAAAACCGTCAAAAGTTATGGCAGTTATAAATATTCTGCTAAATCTCCTGATTGTTTACGAAAAACAGTAATTTGGGTATTTTCGTTATTCATAGTCCCTTGTACAAGCTAAAATGTTTAACATTTATCAGTGAAGGGTATGTACTTCATACTTATAAAATGAAACACTACAGGGGCAGTAACTCATATTTTGTAGGAGATTATGTCTTATGATACTCTGATACCATGAAATCATCATAAGATGTCTATAAGAATACAGTTTCTGATTTTCATTAAGTGGGAATAAGAAAAGGTTTCAGTTTTTGAGAGTTCTAGTGGTACAGGTTTTACCTATGTTGCTCACAAAAATAATTCCAGAAACATCGTTTTTAACAGGTTGGTCTTGTGTTGAATATTCAAACCAATATATCAGTATGTCCTCTTAAAAACTGCATGTATAAAGCATTAATTTTTTGAAAAATAATCAAGTGATCATAACCCAGGGCATCCTGAAAAACTTTTGTATGGTGTTATCAATTAAAAAAGAACATTCTAAATATTAATGAATTAACTAACAAAGAAACAACAAAAAGTGAACTAATTAATACCACCGAAGAGCACCCAACCTTCTGCTACTTAAAACATTAACATCTCATAGGAAAAAAATTGATGAGGAAATACTAAATGTAATATCTATAAGTTTACTTTGTATACCCATTTGGATATAATTGCTAAATTCCAAACACAAAACCATGAGCCTTTAAGTTCTGGGTAAATAAAGTTAAACGTTGACTTTTTGGCAATTCAGGCATCATCAGGACAGAAACAACCTAAATCACATATATGCAGATAAACAACACTCATCAACGATCCAAAAAAAGACTCATTAACTAGAGAAAGTACGTCACTACATGCCATGTAAATCCATCAAAATGAGTTTGGAATATTTCATTTATAATGTAACATTTAATTTATGTCTCTTTTATATTTATATACCTATTTAATAATTATTTTTCACTTTAATATCCTGGTTTGTAATAAATAATTCAGCAAGATTATGCAAACTTGTAGCTAATAATCATATCTGCTTAGAAAAGCCTAAATCAGCAAAACATAAGAATATTAACCAGTCAAAATTTCATTTTTACAAAGTAGGTAAATTACTAAGTTGTCACCAAAGTCCTTGAGCATGAATACAACCCTTTATTCCAACTCTTGTAATTAATTTTATGACAATGTTTCTGTTTATATTTATTTCAATGTTTAATTTAAGTAATCCTTTCATTCCTTGTGACTTGAATAGACTTTATGGGGTCATTAACATTTTTAAAATGCATGTTCAAGGTCATACAACATTTGTATAGATAAAATGTATAGGAAGAAAAAAATTGAAATTCATGGTCTTTTGAGACATTGCCTAAAAAAAGGTCTGAGCACAATGGCAGGTGCCTTTGAAATTTTGGTACCATCAGATCATGGTTTGTTTAGATCAATGACTCATTTTTTAAAAGGTTGGATCTTTGATAATTACAAAGACATAAAAATTGGACATGAAGAGTTTTTTGTCTCAAAACCAAATGAGTGGTAAAGCCATCAAATCCAATCACTGGTAGAAAAATGGGTGAAAGTAGTTCAAAATAATGAACTTTACATTAAAGAATAGTATTGAATAGTGTTTAAAATATGTAGTATGAAATAAAGCTATTTTAATTTAATACTATTCCTATTCTAAATATACCTACTACCCTTAATATACTCCAGATATCCTAATAATCCATTACCTTTCCAAATTGAACTGATTGTCAATAGTCATCTACATATATTGTAACTTTCTATAATCAATAAATATTGTTTATATATAATAAATAACTAATATATATTATTTGTATCTTATATAGCCCTGAAGAAGACCTACAATGTAGGACGAAACATATAATATAATAAATATACTATTATATAATATAGTGTTTTTTGACCGCACCCCCAACTACTTAAATTAGAATCCACGGTCAAACATCTCCATACCATTATGAAATAAAGCTATGTTTATGCACAAAGACTTTTTCAACAACCTAGAATACTAAAAAAAGTAATAAGAGATAAAAGGTTATAAAAATTCTCACTCATTCCTCGACAGTATTTTATTTAAATTATTTATAAAGGGGAGTGGAGGTTATAAAAAATAATTACATGACATTAAAAACTGATGTAATAGAGGAATTAACAGATTCAATTTTACTAAAAGTAAATAACATTTTGTGAAAATTATGTACAATGAAATTTACAAATTTTTATTTCTGCCTATTAACAAGTCCCCTTAGTGGAGTTTATAAAAAAAGTGCACAAGTAAGTTTTGTCAGGCCATAAAAGTAACAACCTACTGACCCTTGTAAAAATACATTTATTCCTTACACTTTCACTCAATCATATTTTCACATTAACATACACATTTACACTTTCATTAAGCACAGCATACAAGTATTCATAAATTTATCTCATTGACAGCCTGGTATAGTTTATTAATAATTATATTTTGTCAAACTTTCTACAATTCGCCAATATGTTCATGAAGGAGTTCTTAAAATAACTTACTTTTCAATTTTTTATTTCATTAAAAAAATAAATATATACTTATACCATAATAAACATGATATAACATATATACCATAAATAGCACACTGTATTTTTATTAAAGTTCTCTATGTGGAATGGATACAAATTTTACAATTACATGAACAAATGTGTTTCATAATTAATCTTATTCTAAATACGGATAACTTAAAATCAAAATAAGTAAACATAACAATACATAGTGTTTCATAACAAGATTGGTACAAAATTTTGTGGCCAACAAATGTTTGTAAAACCGAGTCAAATATTGTTTCTAAAAATCTATTGTGTACAAAGTTGTAAGTAATATACCCTAGAGTAACATCATTCATGACAAAAATAAATAAAAATAATACATAACAGTTATTCACATAATGAATTTAAATTTATATAAAAAAGAAGGCTTTCAACCATGCATATTTAAAAATAAACTATTAAGTAATCTCCGTAAAAATAGTTTTTCACAAAAGATATGCTCTTGAAAATTAAAAACATTTATACAATATTTTACATCTATACAATATACTTGGCATTACTGCATGCCAAAGAAACAATATGTTTTTTTATAAAATTACCACCTCCGTCAATCCTCATCAGATAATGGTTCATATTGGGCAGAAAGAAGAGGAGCAGGTTCAGGAATTGATTCAGTGGTTTTAGTAACAGAGTGGCTTGCAATTGGTACTGTCGATGCTCCACTGGTATTCAAACTTAATGCACTAAAGGGATAAGCATAAGTGTGAGATGGAGTTATAAAAGACGAAGAGGTGCTATGCCCAGCAGAATGATCAGCCTCATCCTGCATAATATCAGTAGATACGGGACTTTCATTGTCTTTGTTGGCACCACTTTCTTCTTCTGAAGTTCTCATAACTTCAGCGATACGATTTTTAACATAGTCTAAGGGTGAAAGTGGAACAGGAGCTTCAGAAAAAAAACGAGTCATGTGTTCATCACTTTTTTCTAAAGCTTGATTCTGATCTTTCTGCTGTAACGCACGTCTTAATTGATCAAATCCTGGATACATCGCTGGTCTCATTCCTTGAGGAGCTCCTGGAGGATTGTTGTACATATCAACATGATCAATAATTGGAGACTGGATGGACTGAGGTGTAACAGAATGACTTTTAGGTCCTTCTTGAGGTTTTACAGGTGAAAGTTTACCATTTGATTCAGTGCAATCTTTATGAAAACTCTAAAACAGATAAATAAAATGCTTTGACATAGTAAAGTTGGTTATCTTTTATAAATAAAGTAAAACTTACATCTACCAGAGTAAACCAATAGGTATAGGTATTAAATATATAAATGTTTAATTTAAATATAACATAGATCTAACATTAAAATATAACGGACTGGAAAATTGTATTCTTTAATGAAAAAATGGAGAAGTATTAACAGCCTTTAATTTAGAGTTCCATTCTAAGTAGGAAAAAGAAGACAGCAAATTTATCAGATAAATATGATAGAACTAAAATAAACGTGATAACTGAATTCCTTTTGCCATAAATATATTGTTCAAAATTTTTAAATATAATATCGATATTTTATATAAATCAGAGACAAACTAATGTAAATTTTACCACCTTTCCAAATCTTAATTTAAAATGCCCTTCCTTCAATGATTTTTTTTTTTGTTTTTTACATGATTAATATCTTAAATGATAATTCCATCATAATTACTACCAATCTATAACATGATCCTTCCCCCTTAGTCTCTTTTATCATTCCAATTTTACTTAGTTTTGACAATGTTTAAGATAATCATCAAATCTAAAACCAGAGACTAAAGCCCTGATCAAATTATAATAACTATTATCTAAAGACTAACACTCTTCATTTTGAAGAAATATGACAGGAAAAAAAATATAATGAACAGTGATTAAAGTTTTAAGTACTTCTATTGCTTATCCTTAGATACTACTAACACTGATCATAACCCTAATCTAACAGGTTTTCAAAATAGTTATTCCTAAAAACCTGTGATACTACAACCCTGAAGGGTCTTGGGTTCAGTACTACTTAGGGAAAGCACTGTTTCTAGGTCAATGGTTGTGCAAGGAGGTGATTTGACCGAGATCAAGCTCAACCGCCAGGTTTTCTCCCTAAATTAAAATAGTAAGTACCCACTTTATGGAGGCTGGGTGTGCCCCAGGAAGGTCTCCCGACCCAGGGTCACCCCACGGCCAATGAAACAGATAAATAAATTTTCACCATGAGCCGTGGTACGAAATTGGGACCTTTAGCATTGGAAGCTCAGTACCCTACCACTGAGCTACCCCACTCCCCAAAATAGTTATTCCTAACACCCCATAAATTCTATAAATAACTCTATATTGTTCTAACGATCTCTTAATTCCTAATACCTAAATACTCAAAGATTGCACAATACACTGGGGGCTGTGTTGAGCTTCAGTTGTGATTTATTACTAATTCTGAATAATATTCAGTTTTGAAGTATTTGGACACTGATCTGACTATAAGAATGGGTAAGAAGCATACCTAATTGTGTACGGAATTAGATATGGATGCTTACCTGGAAAAGTCTATCACCAGGTCTTGTTGGCTGAGGCTGAGGTGCAGTCGTAGTGCCTGATGGAACAGTAGTTGTTTGAACATCGGAAGTTGTTTGGTTTATTTGATGAGTAATGATGGCATCAATCAAACTAGCTGCAGTTAATGTTGAACTTTCAGTACAGCGGCCACGATTACTCGGTTGTTCATTGCTATGAAAAGTAATACAAAACATAGATGAATGGAATTGTTAGCAATAATTCTTATCAATTCTAGAGAGTAAAAATATTTAGGAAGCTTCTACCTTTGCTCTTGAGGAGGATGACCTCGAGATGAAAGATTCGAACCACTTTGTGATGAAGATGGTTGTTCACGAAAACCAGGAGCTTGCATTAATCGCTGATCTATACCATGATGACCATCATGGATGAGTCTTGGTTGATAGCCAGGCATTTGACCTCTACGTAACTCGAGGTGGGGCATGTGTGACTCACGTAATTTTTGTGATTGTTGACTGTGATGCTCCCTTTCACGATGCATAGACTGTTCCCTCTGTAATTGCTGCAATTGAACTTCACGATCCATGTGATGTGAAGACTGATAATTATCTCTTGCACCATGAGAAACCTGCTCCCTTAACTGCTGTTGCTGTTGAACCTGTTCTCTGCTAGACGATTGTTGCTGGGGAGTAAGTACTTTCTGTGAATCTCTCATATATCTGTCAGTTTCTCTACTAGAAAACCTGAAAAATAATGAATAAAAATAAGTGATTAAACTTTAATTTCCCTTGTATAAGGAATTATGTACCATTTCTAGCTAGTATTATTCATTCTAAATCTAATAAATATTTTTTGTGACAAACCAAAATATATATATGTATATATATAAAAAGGAATAATATATTCAGTCCTTACCTATCATGGGGACTATCCCTGTTGAATCTTTCTCCCAACCCTTCATGAAGATGTCTTTTTTCATCTTGCATGTTCTTATGTTCCATAGGCATTGATAATGTTGGTGGTACAGGTAAGCTAGGTTGCCTAACAGCTACATCAACTAAGGATGAGAATGCTTCATGACCAGGAGGATAATGACTAACACCCGGGCTTGGAGGTTTAGTATTGTGTCTTTGAATAACTCCTTGTCTAGTGTTAGTTTGGTAATACATTTTATCTCTTCCAGATCGAGGACCAGAAGAATTTCCAGGTCCATGCATTTGCTGTGATGTAATATAGTCATTCATAATAATTTGTCGCTGTTCAACATTATAAGAAGGTGGTCTTGGCGAAAAATATCCAGTTGTAGGCATATTTCTTTTTCCGAAATATTCAGGATTGGGATACAATGAACTCCTTTGGTGTACCGGAGTACCTGAAAAGACCAATAACAAATTATTATATATAATATTACAATTGGAAATAACAGATTTATAATACAGTAGCATTTAATTTAGACATCTCAGAACAGATAATTTAGACAAAATAAAAAGGAGTTCCTAAAAGCTTCACTTTAAAAGTTTCTCAGAAGACTAATATTTTTCAAAAATGAATATACAATATATATATATATATATATATATATATATATATAAATAATTTCAATAACATGAAAGTTCAAATTAATTGGAAGTAATGGATGGTTGTAAAATAAATAATATTATTAAAACACTTTATTCAGAAATATTACAATTTGTCAGAAATAAATAATAATGCATAATTGATGAGTAAGGCATGAAAAAATAAGAAACATAATAAACTATACATGGGTAGAATAAACTAATTTGTTAATACATTCCACTCTTTTTAAAATAATGAATATTTTTTGAAAATAAGAAATAAATTACAAGCAAAAAATGTGATTAGAAAATTAACAAATCAATAGAATAGAATGTTTTCATCTTATATGTTATAAACTAAAAAAAAAGTCTACTATATGAGATATAGTCCAATAACATAAATTTTTATTCAAAAATAATATCAAAGCCAAGACAATACCTTGTGTTATCGATCCACTCTCTTTGTGAGGTGTTGGAACTTGATGAATCAAAGAAGATGAAGAAGATTCATAACGGCTCTGAGTATAAATATTGGGTGATGAAACAGGAGTGCCATGAATAATTGATCCACATTGTGCTTTTGAGGTAGCAGTAGGATTATTCCCTCCACTAATCACACCAGGAGATAACTTGGGGGTTAATGAAGTATTGGCTAGTGCTTGCTGTAAATTAAAATTAGAAAAGTATAAATAACAAATAATTAAATTCATCAAATTTTATTACTAATTGCAGTAATCATAGTAGCCAACCAAAATAACTCAGGTTATTAATTGATAAAATATCCTTAATTAATTCACTGACCAACAGGAAGCATTTATTGAATTAAAAGAAATGGAGACCAAGGAAAAACAAACAATAAATAATGTTAATAAATTATTAAGATAAATGAGCATCATTAAAACCTAAGGGCCAGTTGGTTAATATATACACAGACATAGACACACGTAATCTTAACACAAAAACTAACAACTACTAATTGTTTTGAGCAGAGGTTAAAATAAAAGGTTAATTTTATTTTTAATTAGTTCCAGTATGATTGGAAAATTTATTTGTGATTGTTTTTGTGTTATTTCAGAAATTGAAATTTTTCAATTTAAGGTTTTATAGAATGTTCAACTTTTAAAAAGTTCTGTTAGAGCTATTAATTTCACAAAAATGAAATTTAAAAAAATGGAAATTGTGCATTAGGTTCTTAATAAGAGAATTAAGAAATTCATTCAAGATAATTATACATGTAATTTAAGCCCAATTACTACATATTTCTTATCTGATTCAACATAACTTTTTTCAAGTAGTTAGAAAAATAAAAGTTAAACTTATGCAATAAACTCAAAACTTTATATCACTAAAAAAGTTCCTTAGAACTTGTATTTCAAAACTTTTTATCACAAAAAGGTTCCATAAAGGTATCAATCCCTTGTTTTGAGTATTGATTGTGTAACAAAGTAATAGACTAAAGATCACGAAGTACTTAAAGTCACAAAAGTATTTTTTTAAAATAAAAAAATTGAAATATTGTATCCGCTTAAGTCAATATTAACAAAATGCAGAACAATTAAAAGTGATGCATAAAAAATTACAATAAAAATTTACTAACACTTAAAGAAAACTTGAAAACAAAAGTCTAAGTAAAATATTGAATCTTGTAGACTGTGGCACAGGTACCTTTTTTTAACACTTGTCTAAAAAAACTCCATGTGGCCTCATTTTATCCTGACCTAAAACTTTTTAATTTATAAAAAATCTCAGAAATGGGGCATTTTCGATTTGGAGATTGGTAAGCTTTGTTAATTTAATGAAGTACTTAAAACTCATGAACAACCAATGGTTTTTTATTTTAATCGTGAGATAAACAGATCACAAAATCAATGGAAAAGATGGCATAAAAAAATATTGTGTCGTTTGGCCTATATAAATCATTATTTTGACCAGTTTGGGGTGGAGGACATGTCAAGCGACCCAATATTTTTTTAGGAATCATTTTTTTTTTTATTTTGTAATCAAATTATAAGATTCCCTCCTGAAATTTGAAGCCATGAGGGAGAGAATATGCACACAATAAGATTAAAAGGGAGATTCTTTAACATCTCAATCATTAGCCCACATGTCTCAATAGAAATTGCCGATGAAGAGACAAAAGATAATAATGGGCAATCTTAACGCAAAAATAGGTAAGGAAGAGTTCTTTAGACTCACTATAGGATCCCACAGTAAGCATGAAGAAATCAATGACAATCACCTCTACACTGATTTTCAGCAGGCATAGGACTCATTGGATAGGCAGGTTTTGATGAGGGATCTTCTATCTCTGGGTGTGTCTAAGAAGCTCACTTGCTTAGTAAAAATGACTATGGCAGATACCAGATGCAGAGTGAAACTACAAGGATTGCTGTCTGAGGAGTTCTCTGTGGTTTCGGGAATAATGCAAGGAGATATCAAGGCTACTCCCCTTTTTAACATGACCTTGGAGAAGGCAGCAAGGGCCATAAGAACCAACCCAGGAGGTACCATCTTTGACCACTTCACACAACACATGGCGTACACAGATGATGTAGAGATTGTAGCAAGGACGCTCCCAGTGCTGGCAGGTGCATTAAAGGAATTTGAGACCGCTTCAGCAGCTCGAGGACTACAAATAAATGTGCAAAATACGATGTACATGAAGACTTCAAGACATCACCCGCATCATGATCGGACACTAAACATAGGCTAACACGAGTTCCTAATATACAGAGAGTTCAAGTACCTGGCATCCCTTATGACAGCAAACAATGACATAACAATTGAGATAGGAACCAGGATTGCAGCGGAAAGCCGATGTTTTTATGCCGTACAGCAACTACTTAGGTTTCAAAGACTATCAAGGAATGCCAGATTGACAATCTATAAAACAATGATTCGTCCTGTAGTCACATACAGAAGTGAGGACATGGGTTATCTCAGCAAAACATGAGAGGGCTCTTGGAGTGTGGGAGCGTAAGATTCTTAGGAGAATTTACGGGCATGTATGCGAAGGTGTTTGGAGGTCCCGATACAATCGGGAGTTGCAACAACTCTACAGGGACGCAGATCTCATTAGTGTCATTAAGATAGGGCGAAAAAGATGGCCAGGAGATGTGGAAAGGATGGCAGCAGATCGAGTACCGAGGTAAATATTATATGGGCTACCTGGAGGAGCAAGGAGAGGAAGGAAACCACTCCGTTGGCTGGAGCATGTTGAGGTGGATTTGAAACAGCTTGGTGTCAGGCGGTGGAGGGCTGTCGCATTGGACCGTGACGAGTGGCGACGTATTGTTGAGAAGGGCAAGGTTTCACGCAGACTATAGGGCCGAGTAGTAGTAGTAGTAGTGATCAAATTATATCACTATTCAAAAGGAAAAGCAATTGGGTGTTCATGAGTTTTTAGTACGTTATTAAATTAATAAAGCTTACCAGTCTCCAGATTGAAAATGCCCTCTTGAGATTGGTAAGTTTTATTCATTTAATGAGGTTCTAAAAATGTATGAACACCCAATTGCTTTCCATTTGAATTGTTAGATAATCTGATCACAAAATCAAGAAAAAAAGTGGCCCAAATAAATATTGGATCATTTGATGTAACCTCCACTCCCAACATGTCAAAATAACAAGGTTATATACACCTAAGAGCCTATTATTTTGATAAGCTACCCTTTTTCTCGATAATGTAATCAAATTACTTATGATTTAAGTCATTATTAACAAATTTTACCACTCTACAGATTGAAATGGCTAATTTCCAAGAAATAAAAAAAGTTATTGCTTACGATTAAATGAAGTCATTTACAAATTTTGGATGAATGTTAATAATTGGATAAAAAAGGGTCTGTACCATATACTGTTACAAGAAATATAACAAATTCAAAGAAGAAATAGTTGCAGTAAAATGGATAGGAGTATGGTATGAAGATGGATAAAGGGACAAACTTTAATAATTACATAGATACCAAACTTAAATAGAAATGGATATAAAACAAAATTATAATAAAACTTGTTTATCAGTTGTTCGAAGTATAGGTTTTTACAAGCATGTAATGCAAAATTTAAAAACCTAAAATATTACTAACTTAATATGTAATGAAACTATATAATTAACATTTTTACAAATGCGGAAAAAACATTTCCAATTTCTTTTTTGTTGATGTACTTAAATTAAATAATTTATATAGCCTTATTATTATAATTTTAATAATATAAGCCTATTATTATCTTCTTGACAGTAAATGGCTCATTAATAACTATACACCATCATATAACACACCTGATGAAAGAAAACCTGTTGATCGGGGGGTTGTGCAACTCTGAATACTGTATTCTGAGATGAAATTGGATGCTGTTGAATTTTAGAAGGCTGCAAATTGTTTTCCCTTGGCTTCTTTATACTTAAGTCTAGTGTAACACCATCAGTATCTCTGGGCTCCCTCATACTCAGCTGAACCTATTGCAATCAAAATGTTATTAAGTAAATTATGTCATTCATTCCATGATAATCAAAACATGGTAACTCTAATTATCATAAATATTTAGAACTGAACAATAAATTAATAAAAAATTAAAGCTCATGCGCACACATATTTGCTTAGTGGAAGTCTGTAACTCGACCATGGCACATCTCTAAGTAATACTCACTATATAAAGTGGGCAGAAGGATAATAAAATACTTCACACAGACCAAACAAACAAGGGGAAGAAACTCCGAAAATAATAAACCAAACATGGCAAGTAAACAAGATAAACCTTATTATGGTGCAAGAGGTCGGATTCCTGTTACTGGTGTAAGGAAAACCGGGTTCTGAGACATTGTCTAGTGACCACTCAGCTGTAGCAGATCACTTGGCTACTGCACCATCTAGTACAGCAGATGAATAAAGAAGAAATAGGTGGTGAGCTTAGAAATAAAATTAGAAATCTTTAGGAATCTGTCATGGAACAGCTTAATGCACATAATTAGATAAAACCTTATGCATTTTCATTAAGGATACTTTACGAAAGCATGTCCAGAATCAACAAAAATCCAGTTGGTCAGTCACAGGACGAAAGGTCAGCGACTCCTCCAAGAAGAGTTTTGAGGAATGACAACATATCAACAACAAACCAAAAAGAAGAATAAGAGGGCAAATAAATCTGAAAGACAAGAAGAAGCAGAGGTTTTTACATCAACTGAATATAATTCTTCAAGGAATTAAACAGGTGAACGGAACCAGATGTTGATAATTTCAGCAAAGGAAGGATCATTGTATGCAGATATCTAGCACATGATAAAAAGAGTTCTCAAGCTCTAGGATATAGATCAAAATGTACAAGATATATATAAGTGACTGGAAGGCACTTAAAAAGTATATAATAAGACAGAACAAATTCCTACAATATTAGGAAACAACATGGTAGGAAACAACTGAATAGAAGTAAGTTGATTAATTGACGGCAAAGAAGTACATAAAGCACGTTTGATATTTCTGTTGGGAGATCTCTTAATACTTACTGTGGCACTAAATATTCAGACAGTATGCATACTGGTTGGATAAGTAGCTGAGTGAGGGTGAAGATTTCTCCCCAGAGATGCTTCTCATGTTTTGTCTATGTCACTTTGTACAGGACTTCACCTAACAAAACTTTGTTTTGAGGCAAAGATGATCATTTAGCAAAGGAATTGCTGCTTTGGTTCCCTTATCTCTCAGCGGTTGATGGAAGCAGTCATTAAGAGCAGTGTGTACAGCAAAACTTCAACTACTATAAATCTTCACAAGAACTTTGCTGATAAACAATTAGTGAAAAGAGAATTAAACTTGCTATACTGTGTGAGCAATAAAGAGAAAAAGACGGGTTCTGTTTCGGTATAGCTGACAAAACCGGTCCAACAACTATTTGGGTAAGAAAGGAACACATCATTCAAGAGACCCCAGCGGATGGATTCAAGAGATGTAAACACTGGCTCCATCCCAAAATTCTCAGGAAATTGAAATGCCTTAATTCCTGATTTGACTTGTATGACTGCAAACTTTGTTTCCTACAACTGGCAAGTGAGAAATCACCACTATACACAAAGCGACTATCAGGCTGTTTGTTTTGAAATTGCTGCCCCTGGTGCTGTAAGGAAAAAGATCAAATCATGCTAATCAATGTGGAACCATTGATCATTTGAATGAGATTCTTTTGCCAAAATAGAGAAAAAAGCCATAGTACTAGGACATGTAGAAAAGAGGGTTTCACAATTGATAGAGCTTGTCACTGATGCCTACGATGCATCAAAGACATCATATCATCAAAGATGCATCATGCATCAAATGCATCATACCTCTAAATTAAATCAATACATGGCACTATAATATTGAAGCAAGGAAATAGCTGATCTTTGAGAAGGTTGTCTATGTACCAGAAGATTAGCCTAAAGAGTGAGAGATCACCTAATTTATGCTGCTTGGAATGAGAAGCATAAGAGTGCTAAAATAATTCTGGTGAGAACAATAAAAGAGGAAGAAGAACAGTTGGAAGAAGCTATACAAAGAGGTAGATGAAAACAGGCGGAGGAACCACAAAATATAGATATGGCAAGGCTGAAAAGTTCAAGCTTATCGCCATTCAACTCTCCTCACATATAAAATAAAAGAAACGCTATTTCTTAAATATTTCTCAGAAAAAGAAGCATATAAATACCCATATTTGTTGTTTTTTATATTTACTAGGGCAGTCGAAAAACATGTAAACCTACCAGAAGATAAGACCAATGGTCTTTGCAATACGAAAGTGAGGGATGTCTAAATGCACTTTTAAAATATCTATTTCAGTTCAAAATCCCTATATGATTTTTTAATTTATATTTTATATAACACACAAATACAACAATACAGATAATCAAATAGATTATTGTTTAATGTGTATATCTAAGTCAAAAAATTTTAGTTTTAAGGAAACTTGAGTATAGATGAACTATCCAATTTTCAATCCCTTGTTACTAGAGAAAATAATAGAAATAACATGTTTTTGATACTTAGAAAACATTCCTTGACTAAAGAGTTACACTCCTACACTACTAATTTAGTTTTCCTTAATGTATATATACATAAGGGTTGGTTAGCCTGAGATTTTAAAAGATGAAAAAACTAATTGAAGTTCGATAGCTTGACAATGGCAATTTTACTTTGGATAATTACTTAATAAAATACAAGTAACTATAGGAACTTAATGATGTAGAGATGGTTGACCGTGATATAATATGAGAAAGAGTTGGTCGGGGGGTGCGGTCAAATAAATAATAAATTTTTAAAAAATTGAGGAAAATTTTAATGTTTCCTTAAAAATACTATTTTTAATCCTCTTTTTAACACTCCTTCTCACATAGGAACTTAATTAAAATGAGAGGGAGAGGGGTGGGATGAACAGATCATATCTGCATTTGTATATAAGTGCAGAAAGATTAGGATATTATCCAACTACTGCCAAATACAATTATAGTTTTAACTGATCTATAGCAAAGTATTAAAAGATAAATTAATAAATTAAAATAATCATATAAGCATAGGTAAACAGCCTAAGGAAAAACCTTTCAGAGTACATGCACCAGTTTGAGGGAAAGAAGCATTAAGTCTTCTACTCAACCACAAGCATCACATATCATGGCAGTTCAAATATTTTGAAATCAATAAAAATAACCTCCCACATCTATATTGGAACAGTTTTGTTTTATAATGTATGTACTGTGATATATTCCTATATTTCAGAAGTTGCATCTGATTTTTTCTTTTTAGTAATTGTTGTTTTGGGGTTTAAGGTAAAATTTAGTTTGATATTTTTTGAGTTGTATTTAAACAAATTAAGGATGGCGGTTATTTCACAAGATAGTAATTTAGTAATTGTTGTTTTGGGGTTTAAGGTACAATTTAGTTTGATATTTTTTGAGTTGTATTTAAACAAATTAAGGATGGTAGTTATTTCACAAGATAGCTGTCTGAGTTATGAAGAGGTGAACACATTACCCACATATACAATAACCTTCTGGCCTAAGCTCTGCCCATTTTTCTCTAAGTTGTTTACCTATATGCTAAAGTAATAAGATAATAAACATTTGGTAACAACCTTAGATATTTTATCCCCTTGAATAGAATCCTCATTACACATGGGCATTGTTGCACAAGAGACTGGAGGAAGATCTGAAAATCTTTGAGAAATTCTTCCAGATAAATCTGATGAAGCAGACCATCGATGGGAACGATCTTCAGCACATTCTGAGGTTTGATCGTAAGGTTGAATACCCTAAAAAAATAAAACAGAACAATTACACTTAAGAGATCTAAATGCCTTTTAATCAAAAGGTCAAACATTAGAAAAAACACTAATTAATTAAAAAATTTATTAAAAATTAAATGATGTGGAAAATGTAACAACCATGATCATATAGAAACTGAGAATGGTAAAAATACAACATTAATATTATAAGTAAAATAAGTTAGCAATAAATATGAACACATATATAAACACAAAAAGGAAACAAATTATGAGATTTTAATAAACACTAAACTGAGTTACTTATATTGTTCAGCAAAGGCTTCGATCAGAACTAAAAGGAGAAAGTGCAACTAGACCCTTGCTAAGAAGAGCATTCACCCAATCGAGAAAAGCTACTACAATTCAACGGTTAAATATCACATATTGTAACATATTAACATATTTTCAAACCGGACTACTTTTTGTATTCTTGAAACAAATAAATAAATAAAAATAATAGACAGCCTATTTAAGATGTGACAAAATAATACATGTGTTTGGGCCCGGCTTTATATTAAGTTCTTTTCGGAGGCTAAAAACCTCATTGGAGGAACGTTCTATAACTTTAATATCCTTAGTATGCATGCTTCTACAGAAATATAGGATGAGGATGAGGTTTAACAGTAGTTTAACAAGACACAAGAAAGAGCTATTGGCTCCTGTCTAAAGTATGATATGAACATTGTGATAGGAGACATGAATGACTAAGTAGGTAAAGAAGAAATTTATTTTGCTACTATTGGAGCTTCACAGCTTCAGCATGAATAGGAGAAAAAGCTAGGATAGCTGATTTATTATTAATAAAACATTTACTTATTTTAATTAATAGTTGTATATACAAATATACTTGTAAGTAGTTTAATTCAAGGGAACAAAAATACTTGATAAGTATTATTAAGTAATTATAATAACAAACCTGAACAACTACAAGACCTTCCTTGGAAATATCTTGCATTTGTTGATGACTATGATGTGTGTTCACCACAGATACAGTAGCCAATGAATTATCAATCTGCCGACTTCCCTTATCACGTTGTGAATAACTTAAATTATGATGATCAGTTTTAAGGATTGAAGAAATAGTAGGAGGAGCACCTGGAGTATTACTCGTCTGTACTTGACCTCCTAAAATATAAAGAAAGCAGTTTATCATTAGTATACATTCAGTAAAGAGTAAGCCAGTTAAACTTTACAAATTAAAATTTAAGAAAATAAATTAATAATATATGTTCATAATTAATTTAAAGAAGATTAATTCAGTTGAATCAAACTGAAATTTAGATGGTATCAATTGGATCAACACAAAAATATAGTCACTCACACTGAAATGAAACTATTAATGTTGGATAAGTGATTTTTTTTTTTCAACTTGGGAAATCTACAGCATATCAAGTATCTAGAAAATGGAATGGGTGAATGAATTAAATGTGAATGCTATTTAGTTTATAACAGTGTTTGATCAAAGTAGACCTGGGCAGAATTTATTTGAAAAATATTCCCGGAATAAATCCCTAAATAAACCTCGATAGTTAGTTCCGAAATAATTTATTTCATGAAATAACCTGACCATTATTTCCGAAATGATTATTTCGGGAATAAATTATTTCAGGAATAACGATATCTGAAATGATTATTTCAGGAATAATGTGAAATCTGAAATAATCATTCCGATCGACTTTTAGATATAATCAATATCCGGGTCGACTGTTATCTTTTCGGGGGCGCTAATTATAAAAATAATGTCGAATTCCATATTGCACCACCTCCTCCCCACCCCCCATCGACTTTTTGTAACTTTTCAGATATACCCGATATCAGGGTCGACTTTTATGTTTTCGGGGGCGCTTTTTATGAAAATACTGTCGAATTTGAAATTGCGCCACCCCCACCCCACCCCCCATCGACTTTTTGTAACTTTTCAGATATAATCGATATCAGGGTCGACTATTATGTTTACGGGGGCGCTTTTTATGAAAATACGGTCAAATTTGAAATTGCACCACCCCCTCCCCACCCCCCATCGACTTATTGTAATTTTTCAGATATAATCGATATGAGGGTCGACTATTATGTTTACGGGGGCGCTTTTTATGAAAATATGGTCGAATTTGAAATTGCACCACCCTCTCCCCACCCCCCATCGACTTTTTGTAACTTTTCAGATATAATCGATATCAGGGTCGACTATTATGTTTACGGGGGCGCTTTTTATGAAAATACGGTCGAATTTGAAATTGCTCAACCTCCTCCCCACCCCCCATCGACTTTTTGTAACTTTTCAGATATAATCGATATCAGGGTCGACTATTATGTTTTTGGGGGCGCCAGTTATAAAAATAATGTCAAATTTGAGATTGCGTCCCCCCCCTTCCACTTCCAGCATCAACTTTTTGTAACTTTTCGGATTTAATCCATATCAGGGTCGACTTTTATGATTTCGGGAGCGCTTTTTATGAAAATACTGTCAAATTTGATATTGCGCCATCCCCCTCCCCACCCAGCATCGCATTTTGTAACTTTTCAGATATAATCGATATCAGGGTCGACTGTTATGTTTTCGGGGCCGCTAATTATAAAAATAATGTCAGATCTGAGATTGCGCCCTTCCACCCTCCCGCATCAGCTTTTTGTATCTTTTCAGATTCAATCGATACCAGGATCAACTAATATGTTTTCGGGGTAGCTAATTAAGAATATACGGTAGAATTTGAAAAAGATATCCCAAAAACATAAAAGACCACCCTGATATCGATTACATCGGAAAAGTCACTAAAACTCGATTGGGGGGGGGAGGGAGAGGCGCAATCTCAAATTCGACCGTATTTTCATAAAAAGCGCCCCCGTAAACATAATAGTCGACCCTGATATCGATTATATCTGAAAAGTTACAAAAGGTCGATGGGGGGTGGGGAGGGGGTGGCGCAATTTCAAATTCGACCGTATTTTCATAAAAAGCGCCCCCGAAAACACAAAAGTCGACCCTGATATAGATTATATCTGAAAAGTTACAAAAAGTCGATGGTGGGTGGGGAGGGGGTGGTGCAATATCAAATTCGACCGTATTTTCATAAAAAGCGCCCCCGAAAACATAATAGTCGACCCTGATATCGATTATATCTGAAAAGTTACAAAAAGTCGATGGGGGGTGGGGAGGGGGTGGTGCAATATCAAATTCGACTTTATTTTTATAATTAGCACCCCCGAAGACATAATATTCGACCCTGATATCGATTATTTCAGAAAAGTTACAAAAAGTTGATGTGAGAGGGTGGGGGGGGGCGCAATCTCAAATTCGACCGTATTTTCATAAAAAGCGCCCCCGAAAACATAATAGTCGACCCTGATATGGATTAAATCCGAAAAGTTACAAAAAGTTGATGGGGGGTGGGGAGGGGGTGGCGCAATCTCAAATTCGACAGTATTTTCATAAAAAGCGCCCCCGAAAACATGGTGCATATTGGTAATTTTTTTATGTTATTTCAGAACAATGTTATTTCTGAAATATTTATTTCTTGATTTTATGCAATAATTTATTTATGAAATAAATAATCCTGAAATAATAGTTATGAAATAATTTATTTCAGAAATAACTCATTTCGAAATAATTTACATTATTCCAAAGAATGTTAAAATAGTGAAATAATTATTTCAGAAATAAATTCAGAGTTATTCCATCGAGATTATTTCGTTGACTGTTTGAAATATTATTTCAGAAATAACCGTTATTCCCGAAATAATTCATTCGTGGAATAACCATGTGAATTATTTTAGAAATAAATTATTTCAAGAGTGCCCAGGTCTAGATCAAAGTAGAACTGAGTCAATCCTACTGTCTAAAAAACTAATTAAAAATAAGTTGATTTACTCTTGCATACAAAAAATTAAATTGTAAGTAAAAGATGATAATATAGAGCCCATGATGATTGGCTTTTTAATGCTGGCAAATAATATCTAAATGGAAGACCCTATTTCAATGTATGTTTAGCATAGATTGAAATATTAGGGGCTTGGATTAATATACAGGATGAAATCTTAAATAAAGGCATATTTAGTTAGTTTTTCTCATAGTTATTATTTCAGGTACTTTGTGTCTAGAGGTCCGTTTTGAAACCTCACTTCTTATCTATCTTATCTAACGTCACTTCACATAACCGCCCTCTTCTTATCCCGCCAAACTTTTGAGTTATTGCGTTGTTTAGTTTTCAGTTATTCCCTTATTACGTTCACTTATTAAATTGTTTACTTTTGGCCTATTCAAAATGTTGGGGTACTTGCCGACGTGAAATTGTGTGAACGAGGTCATCGAAAGAAGTTAACCAAGAAGGCCAAATGGAGATGCTTTCGTAAGACTTGTGACACAAAACTTTCAATAAGGAAAGGAACATGGTTAGAGGGCTCGAGGATTTCGTTTTTAACAGCTTTAAAATTGATTTATGGGTGGTCCCATAGCTTGACAACAATGAAGTGGGGCAAAGAGCAGTTGAAACTATCCTACGGAGCTATGGTAACGTGGAACAAATGCCTAAGAGAGGTTTGTGCCCATGACATGTTATACAGGCCAAGAAAAAAAATTGGAGGACCTGGCAAAGTGGTTGAAGTAGACGAAAGTCTTTTTTCTAAACGAAAAAATCATGTGGGGAGAGTTTTACCTCAGCAGTGGATGTTTGGTGGAATTTGCCGAGAAACAGATGAATGTTTTATCGTCAAAATAATTGACAGAAAGGCAACAACCTTATTACAAGCCATTAAAGAAAATATAGAAGAGGGAACGACCATTTATTCGGACTGTTGGAAAGGATACAACACCCGACAACTGAACGAAGCAAACTATGACCATTTCCAAGTGAATCGCCGGTATAATTTTGTCGATCCATCAACTGGGGTTCATACTCAACACAGAACGATTATGGGGCTCAGCGAAGTGGAGAAATAAAGTACATAGAGGAACTGCCAGACAACATCTCGATTCATATTTGTGCGAATTTTTGTGGCGGCGGGCTCACAGAGAAGAGTTATTTTACAGCTATTTTAAATAGCATAAAACAATTTTGCCTTCCAAAATAAATAAGACAAAAGGAAGTGAATAATTAACTGAAAATAATTTGTACATATGTTGTTTATATTGTTGATATTTTTTCTTTTCTATGTAAATATGTTCTTTTAAATGTGTTTTTTTATTATTTCATTTTGATGTTTTATATGTACATATCTTCTTAAAGTGTTTTTTTATTATTTCATTAATATATGTGTCGTCAAATAAAAGTATTTTTTTTGTTATTACATTTGTTTTTGTATCTGTTAACACTTTCAATAATATGAAGATATGAAGTAGGAGAAGGCTTATCACTGTGTTATGGGAGTTATCAGTGTTCAGGTTATAAACATTGGCAGATAGCAGTCAGGAGCGGCCCCCTGGACAAAAAGTACCTTATTTCATTTCATAGGCAATAAGCTGAATAAGCCAACAAGAACATTTTTATTAATTCAATGCCCAACCTTGGGATATTTGTCATTCAACTCTGTGCAGTCTATTAAATATTGGGTATCCAAACTAGTTCCTTTTCTTTGGTAGATGCTCAAATAATCTGCATCCATGACTCCAAGCCAGCAAAGAGGACACTCTAGTGAGTCAAAAATACCAATTTTAAATATACAAAGTGAACATTGGTACTTAATAGGGGCCCAGATTGAAAGACATTATTCCATCTAGACAAAGGTCTGTCAATAAATTCAACAATTTCACAAACCAGATTGATATTTTATAAAAACAACTGTATCTTCATTTTATGTCATAAAGAAAGACATAAATTGTCAGCCAAAATGGCTAATTGTTGAAAAAAATCAAATGTTTTTATAATAAGTCCTTACAACTTTGTTTATAATAAATTACCAATTTCTCTATGATTAAGACTAAAAAAACATTTAACTGGAACTAAAAAAATAATAAATTAAGCAAAATCGTACCTTGATCTTTCATCAACTGCATCTCAATCACACCTAGCATAAGATCCTTGACCGTCTTCACTGTGAGGGGAGAAGAAGGATCTTCCCTCTTAGGTGATGCAGTTCGAACATTAGTGGACTCAGTCTCACCTCCGCCTTGCCCTTCATCTGCTGTCTCCTATCAATAGATGGATACACTTAAAACTCAACCACTAAAGAAAATTCTTTAATAATTGGAAGACTACAGAAAATATTTGTTCACTAACTAAATGACACCGAATACTAACACTAAAACTAGTATAAACAATAGGATGCATAATTAATTAGCCACATATCTTGAGATTAATTAAAAAATCTTCAATTTAATATCAACATTAGATATTTATTATATAAAATTATAATATAAACAGTAAAACTTTGTTATAACGCTCTTATTCATAACCATTTCCTGGCTGATTTTTTTTTTTGCTCCAACGGGTGGTTTTACATAACTTTAATTTAATTTATTATACATTTATAACAGTTGTAAGTTGTAAATATGAGACAGGTTGACTTAGGTTTTAAATATAGTGTCAGCACAATAATAAAGGGGATAGAAACATTAGCCTAATTGACTCCATAAATATAAATTCTTAAAAATGTTTTATTGTTGTTTGGAAAAGATGTTTCCATAAATTCAAAGTTTGCTGGTTTCATTATGGATATGAATTCAATTTTTATTTTATTTGATTTAACATTCAACAAACCATCAAGGAAATCATTTTTTAATAAAGATAAAATAAAAAGATCAATTAACGAGTTTGTTGAATCCAATAAGATTTAGCTGCGTCTAAAATATCAGTGCTTCATGATTGTGTACCATTTAAAAAAAAGGACAAGGAAATATCAACACATGATGAAACCAGTAGGAATATTAGATCTGCCAAACAACTCAAAACAATTGTGAAACATTTGTTCACCCAGACTCAAGTACTTTGTATAAGTACTATCAAGTACTACTTTCTTCTGAGAATAATTCAAAGAATAATATAATTTATAATACTTATGGTCAGGTGAGAGAGGCTTAAAAGGATTAAAGTGATCCTTGAAGTTTACAAAATTGGTTAAGTCACATCTTTGTTTCAACTTGAAGCTGTATATCTTAGCGTGTTATTATTACCTTATATAATATTATGTGAAAGATAAAATCAATATTGTGTTTGGTGGTACAATTTATTGATTAGAGTGCATAAGCTATGACCATCATGTCGCAGTAATATTAAAAATATTCCATGTTTATAATAAAAATTAATCCTTTTCTGCCAAATCCTCGACATCATAGCTTTTATTTTGAAAATACGCAAGGTCGGAATAAAAAATTATATTTTCATATTATGTATTTAAAAAACAAAAGAATGTTAAACAGAAAATAGTTTGATGAAGTATCTGAAGTCCAATCAAGATTTTAATTTTTTTTCTCAGTACTATAAACTTAGATGAGGCAAACCTTAAAATAGCATTAGCTAGCATTATACATATATTAGTTTCTCTAGAATAGCTGTTAGTGTATGGTTACATACAGAATAAGGTTTGTCATAGTTAATAGTATACAGGAAAACAATATTTAAACCTTGGATGGACTTCAGATACTTTATGAAATAATTTCCTGTTTAACATTCTGTTGTTTTGTAAAGTTTTTTAATGAAAAAAAATGGATATGTTTATGATAATAAAATAAATTTTACTAACAAAACGAATAGATACATTCTTTTTGAAGCTTTGAATCAATAACTGAAGGTTCAAAAAAAAAAAATTATTTCAATGGGAAAAAAAGTTTCATGAAACTTTTGGAACCCTCTTACATTATAAAATTAACTACATTAAATCAATTTCATATTTCTGACATAAAGAGGAAATAATGATTTTTGTATATTGCTTAAAGCATTGAATTAATGGAAAAACAAAGCCAAATATGATTATATATATATATTAAATAAACTTCCAAAATATTAAAAATAGTAACAAGAAAATGATAACTATTAAGGTTAATAAACGTTAAATATTTAAAATTGCAAATTTTGAACTAAACAAGGATTTCTAAAACTCCAACAGAAAAAGAAACAAAACCTATGATGATGTCACAGGCAAACAAATTACAGATGAGTAGACAAAAAAAAATTTATATAAAAGATTCACCGTAGCTGAACTGTCATAATCCTCTTTAGCAGCATATAACGTAGGCGGCATGGAGGCAGTAGATACTTTGGGTTGAGGTGAAGATGTTGATTGATTATGTTCAAGAGGCTCTGGATGAGAAGTTTGTTCTCTAACCTCAGGAACAATTTGTGGAAGAGGTGGAGTGATATTCATAGTCCTTATTTTATCTTCACTCTCTGCAAGATGTTGTTCAACATTTTCTGTAATTATATCAAGTATAAACTATTTTTAAAAAATTATTAAGCACCATTAACTATAAAGAATGTGAAATTAGTGATGTATTATTAAACATAAATAAATATATTAATATACACAAATTTATTACATATACAAATTTATTTATTATTATACACTTCAGTTCTGAAATGAGCTTTTTAAGAGAAACAACTCATGAAATAAATATTGTGGCAACCTCATGTTCGAGTGATTTATTAAATTTGATATTTTTAAAAATTTTACCATGTAAACAAAGAAACTTTTTTTGGGGCGGATGGGAGATCCTTGGGGGCCTGATTCAGTCCGCGGGCTGTAGTTTGGAGAACGCTGCTTTAACATATAATTAATATACTTTTGACTGAGACAAAAATAATAAAGTACAATCTTGAATAACTTGATATATTATTTAATAAATTAAATACACAAATTTTTGGATAACTTGAACAATTGGATGAAGAACATTGTGATTTTAAAAGGATGGTCCTATGGCCCATATAACTTGACATTCTAAGGGAATTATTTCCTGAATATACATTCATTCATGCAGATAGATATAGTTCTCTCCTCTATTCTATAAAACCATTCTTACTTGAAGCTTTTATTATTTTATAGAGGGGAAAAATGACAAATTGTAGTTCCTCAATTAAATTTTACTTTCAAGGTTACAATAAAAACAAAATATATGTTGATAGGAATATCAGCTAATGTGAAATATAGCTCCCATAACATTTTTTGAACTAATAACCAATCAATGCAAGCAGTAAAATTAGGGAACATTTATAAGCTTTAAAAATTAAACATGGCTATCCTAAATATACCAAATGTCTTTAATTTTATTATGACTCAGTATTTAATAAACATAAAAAAACTAATTGCATTCACCAACTAGAAAATCAGAAGCTATCTTAGTAACTTTATACATCCTTTAACTTTTGATTAGAATATGCTATAGTGCTTTTTTTAAAATACAATATAAAGTATTATTTTAAAAAATTAATAATAAATAAATAAGAATGAGTCTTACTTATTTTAAAAATTTAAATTCAACAACTTTATTTATATATGTTGCGAAGAAAAATGGATTACCAGCATTTTGCAGAGGTGAAGGAGCACTAGCTGTATCGCTATCACCAGCAACTCCAACTCCACTAGTAGCTCCGACTTCATCACAACTAGAAGTACTAGATCCTGATTCCTCCTCATCGGTAAGAACAGGTTTCCTTTCGTCAGTATTTATCTACAATAAATCAGAGTTTAGAAAAAGAATAATAATCCTACATCATAAATCGACAACTTCTATGAATATAAGATAGTGTTTTTTCTTAAACCTGTTAACCGGAGATTTCTCTTTTTAATTACGCAGCATATAACGGCTGCGAACTCTTTCATATTATTACTTTTTTTTATGCTTAAAATAAATGAAAAGACTATGAAATATATATGCCTTCCTTTATTTATATATATGTAGCACCAAGGAAAATACAAAATTACGAACAAATAGAAAAAAATAACAACAAACATATGGAAATATCGAATTAAGAAATTATAAATTTTGCAAAAAATTATAAAGAGTATAAAAAATATATATTTTTTTATTTAAATGCACAATAAAAAAGTTACCAATTACAGAACAATAAACAATAGCACACAAATAAAATAGAAATATAGAGTTTAAACAATTAAAATGTATATATGTGAAAATTCAAAACTCAATTTCAGTGTGATATATTTTAAAACAATTTTCTCCACATCTTAAATTCAATTCGAAACATGTATCGATGACTAATACCTTTGTTATACGACACTATATGTCTCACCCGTTCCAGGGTGCAACACATATTTCAAGGACGTATTCATACGTCCTTCCCATACACACTATAGTTTACGTTTGGCGTATTTATACGTCCCACGTAAACGTTAATAAATATTGTGATGAAAAATCTCATAAAATTTTAAATATAAAATTCCCATCCCAGCTTCAAGCTCTGCACAAGAAAAAGAGCTGAATAGGATGTAAATGTAAGGAGCTTTAGAGGCCCATTCATAGAATCAGATCACTATGCAGTTTTGATGAAAGCAGAGAATAAGGACTGACGACTGACGACTAACAAGATTTCCACTTGTACATCAAAGAGAAAGTGAAATACTGACAAGCTTAAAATGGAAGAAACAGCACTACTCTTCAAAAAAAGTGCATGAATCACAAAGTAAACAGAGATAACAGACGAAACAAACCTGAATGAATAATGTCAACTGGAGCTGCGAAAAATCTTGGATGTATGGAACCCAAAAAAAGAAAGTGAGAGACAAGAGAAACAGTCTGCGACATAAGAGCTTGCAACAGGATATAGGGTACTGTGAAGCAAAGCAAGAGGTAAACAACAATGGCAAGAAGAAGCAAGAAGGGAGCATTTCTGAAGTGGATAAAAGTTATTGAACAGATATCCAACAAAACAAAATTAGAAAAGTTTATAGGAAAATAGAGGAAATAAAGAAAAGTTACTATATCTGTAAACAATGGGATTAGACACACGAAATGTATACTACTGATGTCAAACCATAAGATTCTAATAAGATGGGAAGAGTATTTCCAAGAATTATTATATAGTGGAGGTGACAACACCTGTGGTACAGCCACAACCATAAATAGAGAATTATATATAGAGCTGTATTATGAGCCTGATGTAATTGCAATTATCAAAGTGAGAAGGTTAAGGTGGGCAGGAAACCTCGCACAGAAGGCAGATCAGTCAATCCCGAAGAAAATGCTAACAGAGCAGCTATTCGGCCGGTACAAAGTTGGGAGACCACACTGGTCAGACTGTGTCAGGTGATTTAAGATCCATGGGAGTAAGAAATTTGATGGCAGGAGCAAAGAATAGGAATACATGATGATTGCTGCTGGAGGAAGCCAGGAATCACTTGCGGGTTGTTGAGCTTAACTAATAATAATACATAAAGCTGGGCGGAGAACCTAGATAAGAGGAAATAATCCTCCCAACTACAGAAGAGTTAAATAAAGTAATCTGCAAATAGAAAAGAAATAAACTCTTGGTGGAGACAATATAAATGTAGTTGGGTTTCAAATCTTCATAGCCCCAATGTACAATTGGCTAGCACTCTAAGAAAAGAGCAGTAGGTGACTACAAATGTGGATTTAGGAGACAGATCAATGATAGGTCAGCTCTTTGCTGTTTAGCAAATAGATAAAAACATGTGGGAATTTAACAAGGTGACATGGTTATATTTTGTTTCTTGATTTCAAAGCTGCATGTGATAAGAACCACAAATCCAAAGTATATGAAGCAATAGTAGATGCCAAAATTCCCCTTAAACTGATATCTTCTACCAAGATGACAATGAGGCGCTCTAAATTTCACATAAGAACCAACGGAAAACTGCCCAAACCAATAGAAAAAAAAATGATAACAGGGAGACAGACACCCTGGCCTGTGTTGTTCAACTTAGTTTCGGACCAGGCTGTAAAAAGTGCAAATCTAGATGGAAGCAGTACAATCATGAATAAATCACGATAAAGAAAGTAATGTAACTTTCAGGTAATATTTTGTCAAAGGCAACAATTAACCGCTACCCTTATATAAAAAAGATAACAATAAAAACTAATAAATAATCAATTACACTATGTCAATTTTACTATTTGAGAAAAGTACAGAAATGAATTATAGCAAAGATCCTTACAAACACGATGAGTAAACTGAGAACAGAAATTTAACATAACATAGACTAGAGATAAGTAAAAGAATTCAAAGAAATTAAAAATAATGGAAAAAATACCTTTTCATTAGGAATCAATTGGTCCAAACCCAGCTTCTGCTGGTAATTGAAAAAGAAATTCATGCAATGATGCTGTGATTTTCCAACGGCCTGAGATACTTCATGCCAATTCATACCGTGCAGTTTTATGGCATTTTTTAGTGATTCAATTTCTTCATCTGTCCATTGCAGATAAAGTGAGCACTGACCAGGACTCAATATTTGAGCATCCTCAGGTGCTGAATTATTTAGGTCCATTGATACTGCAATGCGTCTTGATATTCTATTGAAACATGCTGAACAGCACTTGGCCACTGTTTCATCAATTTCTGTAATGCCATAGTGAAAAAAATTAATTCTTTGATTATTAAAAATTTAGATCTACAATTTTATTTTGCAATAAAAATGTTTACATACTTAAAAATTATTTAATTGTTCATAAATTAGTTAATAAAGAATTTATTATTTAGGAATCATTAGTTGTTGATATAAACTATGAATGAAAGTAGTTAGGCTGTATTAACAATGCACTATAAAACCTTTTTTTCACCAAACAGTAAAAATAACAAGACATAATTTGGCTTGTGTTACTATAAGATCTATAAATTATAATTTATCTTTCATTAAGTCAATAGTCATAGTCAAACTTTTTTATTTTCTTAAAGCAAGAGTTTTCAGCCTTGTGCCTGCAGCAAATATTAAAATTTATAATTCAATAATTAAGAAGCTACTTTATTTTTTAAAATATTGCTGTGAGGTAATACTTTAAACCTGATGCACTGATCGCATCTTTGTTGTTTGTTAGTATAAACTTATACTGTTGCTCCATGATTTTGATGTGTTGTGTTTTTTTAAATCTTCTACATAGAGTTTATTTTGTGTGTACTTTGCCTATGTTCTTTCATTAAAGATCAATGGAACTAATATTTAATATTTTCCATATTGTTGTTCAGTTAACATTATTTATTTACTCTTCAATGATCAATACTTATATAACTTTCATAATGAATGTACAGTATATTAGAATTAATTTATGCCATAAAAACTAAAGAACTTTTTAATTGTCTTATTTTTTAACTCTATTGCACCTGCTAATATTTTTAGCCGTTTAGAATAAACCCACGTCACAAAATGGTCAAGAAGCATTCTATATCAATTTAAGATCCAATAATATTTTTAATAGAAAATTTTATATTAACTTATCATGCATTGTGTTTGACAATAAAAGAATATATAACAGTCAACTTTTACCCTTCATTTCACTAAGGATGCAGGAAACATAATTTTTCAGAAATTCCCATCCCATTTATAAGACTAACAGTTAGCAAATTTGATAAATTGGCCTGCACAATGATCCATGAATTTCAAAAGGATTCATGAATTTCAAAGAGAATCTAAAAAAGGAAGAATTTTAATAACAATGATGCCAGCAGAAAGGCAACTAGATTTGTGATGATGGGAGGATAAGAAGTTAAGGCTATATTGCGAGTTATGCTTAATTACAAAATATATTATTTAGATATTTTAAATTTATAAAATGCGTTATAAGCTGAGGAAAAATGACTAGGGATTTACATCAAACTTTGGAAATCGTAGTCTTGAAAGAAAATCTATCATTCAAAAGTTGTTTCACATAAATCTAGGACATATGCCTATACCCAACAATAATAAATAAAAATTAAGTTTTTCATAATATAAAGTATGTTGTTATTAGTTGTTGCTGTGTATTGTTATTGCAACAAAGTTTTAAGTCTCAACATAAATACAGATAAAGTTCAACGAAAATTTAAACCTTAATATTATTATATTAGCCATATACAATTAATATTATAATTAACCTAAATACAATAATAATCCATGATTCGATCATCAAGACATTTAATTTTTTCAGCATTTCCAAACTTTAAGATTTAGAATCTTTTATTTAATTTGACCATACATCAGAGTGATAAGTTTTAGAATTCTTAGTATGGCATTAAGTAAACACCAGCATGTTCTATTCACTACAAAAAAAAAAAAAGTTAACAAGCAATTTTATTTATAAAATATTTACTCACTGAATTCAGCAGCAATAGGACCTTTTATAGCAGCAGGTAAATCAGCCCACTTGCAGGGTAATGGTCGCAACCTTTTCACTCGATGTCCCTTAGCATTCGGGCATGTTGGAATAGGGCAATTTGTGAAGCGAGAACGCACAGCTTTGCAACGGCATAAATTACAAACACGAGCATCCAAAGGAACTTCTTCTTCCTTTAGCCCATACTGGCTAGCTTGAGAGCGAGGTAGGGCACGAGAACAAACTGATTCTGTTTTACAAACAGCACAAGCTACACCACTGACATTATCCATATCACCACCTCCTAGAAATAATTTTTAAAATTACAGTAAAACATAAATAAATAATGTTTTGAACATAAAAAATAAAATGATAAAAACAAAAGAAATCCAACTCAAGAACATGAAATAATTCACATTACACCATGAACAAAAATGAAAATGTGTGTGGAAGTGTAGCGTGAGTTGTATAAAAAATGACCTAATACAACTTACATACACATCTCATGCTTATGAGTAGAGACTGGATTTCCATGTTATTGCACAATTTACTCGCCTGTATGTATAAACTTCAAACCCGATGATCTATAAGTTTCGCGATCTGTAGAATAACATATTAAAATTTGTTATTGCACGAAAGTGCACATTTTGCTGTTTTTGTCATAAATTGGACGATTTTGATTTTTGTTGCATCAAATTGCATATTTTTGTGCTAGGTAATGATAAATGATATCAGCATACATATGTGTGTAAGTATTTACTTTTTAATTTTACTATCGTGACCCTATTAAATTTACAATAGAAGATAAAAATAGAGCAGAAAGGTCAATAATTCTATAACTAACAACAGTTCGAATTTAACATTACAAAAAGAGGAAGTAAACACAAGTGGAAAATATTCTTAGAACAGACCTTGCCTAAAATATTAGCTAACAAAAGAAAACTGTCTTCCAAAATAAACTTTTAGATAGAAAGACATTTATCTTAAATTATTTCTGATTCTTCAGCCCTTTCCTAAGAATTCTAAGGATTTCATTTCAATGTTGGATATTCATTTTTTTTTTTTATTTCCTTGTTATTTTAACTCAGGAGCTTACTACAAAGTTTGATCAGATTTCGATGTATTAATATAATAAATTAAACTAAATAGACGATTTTGCACGTTTTTAGGGGGTCCATTAAATAATTTTGAATATTATGGGTTTTTACTACATGAATATCCGGTCTCTACTTATGAAGATATAAGTTACGCATCATTTCAGAATTTTAAAACAATATAAAGTGTCTATAAAAGTTAGTTATCAATTAAAGAAGTTAGTTATCTAATATTATTAGGATTATGTCATAAAATGCAACTACCATAGGCCAGAAGGGGATTTTAGAGCTGAAACCACAGATATGACTTTTCGTTTTTGAGCTAGACTGATAACATACACACACACACACTCAGACTATTTTGCGGGACTTGGTTATTTGGACTCAGAAGACCTCGAAACATGTATTTCTGTGAAAAACTCAGACTCGAAATTTTTCACGATCACAATAGTTAACCTTGCTATCTATTGCATACATAGGTAAATGAATGTAAAAATTCAAACCACAGTCTTGTCTCCAAAATGCAAGCAAAGAAAAAAACAATAACGTTTTACCAATTCAGGCATCATCAGGACAGAAAAGAACAGCTAATCGAACATCACTTCATGACATCCAATCGACACAACAATGCGAGTGGATGATGGTCGATTAGCTGTTCTTTTCTGTCCTGATGATGGCTGAATTGGTGAAACGTTGATGAGGATTTTTCTTTGCCTGCATTTTGGAGACATAAAGCTGCATGGTTTGGAATTTTTAAAAATTATAACCTAACATTGAAAAATATTTTTAAACAGAAATAAATTATAACAAGAATAGCTGACATACTAATAAAATATTAAAACATAATAGTGTGTAGCGATCTATACGAGCACCTCATCTCAACAAGTGTCCTAGTTCTTAAACTTGCGATTGACCCAAACTGGATTGCTAATTAACACATATCAATGAAGGATGCCGGACCATTAAAATCATGCTTAAAGATTCAATTTAACTTGGTGTACATTCTATATTTATTTATATTTCATTGTGGGTATTATTATTTGTTTAAGTACCCTTATATAAACAAATTTTGATTTTTATATCGCTGCAATCTATACAATTAAATATTAAATAATACCAACAATAGCATTTATGAAAACTACATACGTGTATATATACGCATAATATTTTCCGTATTATATTAAGCTCATGTTACATATGAAAGCCTGTTCTAATCTTTCGGGCGAGCTCGGGTTTTATATTTAACTATTTTTTATATCAGAATTCAATGTGAAATGGTTAATTATTTCAAATAAAAAAAAAAAATGAATGTACTTTAGTTTTAGGGAGAGCTATTGAAAATTAGCCATTTAAGCCCTGTTATAGAACATCAATTAGAATAAAACCTACATTATATTAAAATATGCTTAATTCTACACTGATATTTGATGATTTGATCAAAATCGTTAGAGCCATTTTCGAGAAAATCGTAAATCGATGATAAAAAAAGTGCCAATTCCGGTTAGCCGATTTTGACAAAAAACGTCGCCGTAACATCTCAGGCATATAAAAACCTTAAATATGCAATTTCACTTTTGTACGACTTTTCGTTTTTAAACTAGACTGCTAATACACACACAGACTATTTTCCGAGACTTGGTTATTTGGACTCAAGGAACCTCAAAACGTGTATTTGCGTTGAAAACTCGGATTAAAAAAAAAATAGATACGTGAAAGTAAAATATATATATATAAAATAGGTCTCTAAAACGCCTTTGAGGTCGTCATTGATTAATACGGGAAACATATAATATATTGTAAAAAAAAAGTGACGCGAATAATTTTGCTGAATCAGGAACCCATCTCCATTTAGTTAATCAACGAATAAATCTGTTGTTTATCTTACCTCGTCGGAGACAACAGCGTGGATTGCAGTGAGCCATGAGTTCCCTAATGTCTGAACTCCAGGTTTCAGAACAGTACCCCTACTTCGTTATTCAAATAGGTATTGAAAAGTTCTCCCGAGGCCATTGGTCCGATGTAGGCTATAAAACATTCGAAAAAAACCCTAATGTTTAAAATGGAGATCCTTTTAGGACCGGCGTCGTCATGAATCGTAATCTCTGACGCAACCAACTCACGGATACTGTGACAGAACCCACATCTTAAAATAAGAATTATTTAAGAAATAAATTAAAATAAATAAATTCAAAACTATTACACTTCTCAACAACATCGGAGTGGGATTTTAATTACAATTAAAAGTTACAGATTTTTTTTAAAATTGTGTTCAATATATTCCGAGTTGAAATGACAGATAAAGAAAATTGTTTATTCGAATATTGGAGGAGTATTTATATTATTAATGACGGTAAATTAAGAAATAATGAATACTATTAATTAGTTTACCAGGTGGCGAATTGGAATTTGTTTTTTAACAGAATTGTCTTAAAAACCTAAGACGTAATAAATTGAACTTCTCAAAACAAATAACCGTTTGGAAAGCTGTCAGAAAAAAATAAACATAGTTTACCGGTTTATAGTAAAGTTAAAGAATATAAAACTTGTTTTCACTAAAAAAAAACATATGGGTTGATTAAAAATAAACCGCTTCACCAATACGACAAATGTAATCTTAAAAAGAGAATGTAACAAGTTAAAAAAAAAAAAAAAAAAGAACATTGCCTAAGTAAATAACAGGGGTAGAGTAATTAGTGAACAGTGGTAAAATCTTTAATCGCGTCTCTTCAGTCAGTCCCTTTGGGTAATTAGTGCTTTGCAAACAGCATGTTGCGGGTAGGAATTTAACTGGGTATTTGGTTTAGCACTTAGATGAGCTGGCAGTTTACACTCGGCTTGAGCCCCTTTCCATCCCAGCTCACTTCTCCCTCTCAAACCTCTATATCTACAAATCCCCTTTCCTTAATTGGAGGTGGTAATTGATAGATTAGTTTACCTTTTCAGATAGAATTACACAGATTTAGAAAGAAAGGAATTTACAATTATCATAAAACTGGCGAAATAATTAACATGCAAGATATAATAACAGTTGTAGAAAAAAATTCAACTGTTTAAGACTTTAAAGAGTAGCTGGAGAGAGCTGTGTAAATGTACAACTTTTCTGGTACTGCTCACAGCAGCGGATGGCAGGGACCGCCATTAGTCACTGCTTACCGTTACTACTTGGCGGCACTTGATTTTCTACTTTCGTTTGAAAGACTTCTCTGTTGTATTTTACCGCGTATGCCAGAAGTCTCCAAACTTTTTGGCCCACGGGCCACGTTGAGACCGCCACTAAGTCCCGCTGCCCATGGTTTGTGATAAATAAATGACCTTTCAGCAGTGAAATGAGCTTTCTAAGAGAAACAGCACGTGCAATTAATGTCGTAGAAACCCCCTGTTTGAGTGATTTACTTCATTTCGTATTTTTTGAAAATTATTACCACATAATCAAAGAACCTTTCGCGGACCAGACTGGAGGTGCTTGGGGCCGTAGTTTGGAGACCCCTGGACTATACCGATTATTTTTTAATACCTTTTCATGCTTTATTATCCTTTGACAATCCATATTTAACAAAATGCCAATCATGACGAAACCAAATGCTGGTGGATGTCAATGATCAAAAACTTTACTCAAGTCAAATTCGTCAGTCAGCCATGTTTGGACGCCATTTAGGGATATTGCGCCACTTTCTGGGAAGATTGTTTTTAGACGTAAGTTAATTTTGATGTAGTAAGATCTAAAAATATTAATTTAGCCACGTATAAACAATGATATATTTCTTTATATCTATTTTTCATTAATAACAACAATAACGGCAGTTGTAAAAAAAAAAAAGTGTTCTTTTATTTTTCATGATGAGCTGAGACCCACATTGGAAACTGGTAAAAGCTTGGAAAAACGAAACGAATAAAAAATGTTTGTTAACTGTTAGAAAGCACCCTTCATTCGTTTGAAATCAAGAACTTCTGTTTTCAAACGTTTGGTGTTTTCTCTCTCAACCCTACTTCTGGAGCGACTGAGACGAATCAGTGCGGAGATTATATTATACCTAAACACCCAAGCATCGATAAACGAAATGTACTCCAGATGAAACCACGTAGAAGAATGCGCACTTATTTGAATGCGAGGAACTCTAGAAAGAAGTTAATGGAAAAAGAACGTTTCAAGTTATCTTGGAATTAGAGTTTGTAACAGATACAACTACATCTAACCTCATCTCAATAATAA